TTTTTTTTTTGACTCAGCTATTAGGTGCATTTGTTTGAGATATTTTGAATGGCCCATTTAAATGCCTTAATGCCAGTTTTCCTTACCTTCAGTACATTTATTGTGAAATCTCCCATGTTTGTTATACCTTTGCCTCTACAGTAGCTGGATAAAGGTTCCCATTTTGGACAAAGGCTCTATAGAGTATACAAAAAAGTACCTCCCAAGCCCCTGGGGTCACTCAGAGAGAAATTTAAAACACTCTTGACTTGTCTGAGCGATTCTTCGCTTATTTGATGACTGTTTGAATTTGAATGATTGACAGAGCAGGAAAAAATTCTGAAATCCAGTTGCCCTTTCCCTTGTAAAATAAGGACCAGGACCTTGGTGGGATCCCACCATGATCTTGGTGGGAATCCCGCCAAGATCCCAGCGAGATTTTGGCCACCAGGATTTTTATTCCCAGTGGGATCCTGGCAAGATTCTCGCCGGGACGCAAAATTCATGGTGGCCAAAATCTCACCGGGATCCTGGCGCGAATCTCGCAAAGATTCTCGCCGGAAAGCAAAAATCCCAGCGGCCAAAATCTCGCCGGGATCCTACCATGAATCCTGCCAAGAAAACGGGGCACCACGGTGGGATCCCAGCAAAAGCCAGGAAATTTGGCGGGATCCCAGTACCTATTTTACAAGGGTAAAAAGCTTTGAAGCCAACAGACACCAACTGAGCACAAACAAGTTAGCACAAACACATTTATACAATGTTTACTGAGATTTCCAGTCATGGAACATAAGTGAACATAATATTGGACCAAAATTAATTTTCTTTCAATTGTTCTCCTCTAGGAAGTGGATACATTTACGGACAAGTACATAAAAACTAGACAGTCCTGACTGATCTACCAACACAAGGTTGCTATAATTTCTACTCAGATAAACGACTTCATTCTTTTCTACGTTATGAACAACAGTATTGTTAGTCACAATCTGGCGATGCATGGCGTCAGTATCAGCTGACATCAGAATTGAACTGTGCACTAAGTGTAAAATATATTTAGGTATCCAGTTGTAAATAAGAAGTGAGTGGTTGGACACGATGTACGTGTTGTTTGATACTGTAAAATAAATACCGTCAGAATGCCCATTTCAGATGAATAAAAATGTAGGCAACTGCATTTCTGAACGTAGTCATTGTCTTCATTTATTATTTTGATCAAGATCATGAGAAGTTACAAAAAAAGCAGAAAACAACCTAACTGTGCTTCCCAGTCAACGCTTTACTTGCCAATTCAAGTCATTTTGGGGAACCTTGGCCACCAGGGGCCCATTTCTCGAAAGCCCCGGAAACTTTCCGGGCACATAAAGCCACTTTTAGTTAATAATCTGTATTTAAAACCATGCAGAGGGGTGTGTACGCCTGAAACATCTTGTATGAAGGGAACCTCTGTTCATGTTACGAATATATGGATAAAACAGCTCTGTAATCATAAGGTTTGAGATTTTGCTATGGCTTTCCGGGTGCGGAAACTTTGCGTGACCTTCAAGAAGCAGGCCCCAGGTTTGGTCCGTATTCC